AGACCTGTCCAAATCCCTGAAACCGCATGCCTGTTGAACGTGGCACCCCAGCCGATGGTTGAGGCACCGTGGATACAACAGCATGCCTGGACACTTGTTCTTGGGGCACTCATGCCCTCACCGTAATCCTCAGGTAACCCATGGGATGCCCCGAAGTAACCCTCTCGGTTTTTTTGCCAGAAGGCATAGATCGCGGCATAGGCACAGGAAAACTCCACCACATTGAATGTACTGGAGCCTAGACTGCAACACAGAGATGGTCATGTTCCTGCAATGAGAACATGACTCATCCACAAAAGTAGCCTCAGCGTGCTTGATGCCCAGACACATGAGGCAACGATCATGACCTTCAGCCGGCGCCAGGAAACAACCTCATTCAAAAACACACGGGTGGAAACCCTCTGATATCTTTAAAACTACTCGCCTCTGAAGCGAAAAGCAGAAGATGTGATGCACCCGCTACTCATTATATACCTGCGCTGCGAGGTGCAACTGATGCAAATATCGCACGCCGATGTGCATTGGCTCGATTAGTTACACTCAAAGTAGATTGGCCTCTCTAGCGAGATTCCTATTCGTCGGTTACCGATGTGACGTCGAGAGAGTCCGACTCAAAGGGAACTAATATTCATATAATCTACAACAGGGTTTCCTATAATTTAAGTCAGGTTGCATAAAAGATAACACTAAATTTCAATTTGTAACAATTAAGAAGTTAATGAAATTTGAAAGTAGCATCAAAGTGAAAATGTGCTATGAGCTTATAAAACAAATGTTGATATGTTCATCATGAGACAAAAGAGATTATTTCAAACTTGCTAAGTGATTTGAACTTGCAGGACAAATCGAGTAACTAACAGTCACGCCTCAGTAAAAAATGCAGGTTGAATTCATTTGTATTCAATAATCCTATACAATTGCTATCACATCAACAAAAGCAGTAAATGTGGATGTTACCACATGAACTACAATTTCTAAGTTGCACAAGCATACTATTGTTTTCAGTGGACTTGTTTTCGATGCCATCTGCTGTAACAGGGGTGGCAGACCCCAAAGTCGTCAAATGTTTCGTCTTGACTGTGTTTATTGTCAAACAACAGCTTACTTTACATCAGAGCTGCTCAATCTTTAACTGTTTTTAAATCCTCTCTTAAAACCTTTTTTTTTTTCTTTAGCTTTTAATTCATTGTGAGCGTTTGTCATGAATGTGTGGTTTGTCCTTGTTCTTTATCTTGTGTATTGTTCAGCACTTTGGTCAGCCCTGTTTGCTGTTTTTAAATGTGCTATATAAATAAATACAAACTTGAAACTTGAAACTTCTACACCAGGATACAAACATACAAGCTGCGATTTTTGGATTTCCCCCATTTGGTCTTAATCTTTCATCCCTGCTTCTGGTCGTCAGACGGGATGCATTTCCCATTAAAACATGCTTTACAGATTCTTCCAAGTGGAACATAAATACAAGAAACTAACCCTCAACCAAACCCTAACCGTTACTCTATAGTATGTACATGTAGTTAATTCATATTACTCAGTACTAATTTGAGTTAGTCCAATGTAACTACGTCACCTTAAAATAAAGGGTTACACTTTATTTTAAGGTCTCCGTGTTACAGTTTAATTATGCATTTAAGTACTGAGTAATAATAATTAACTACATGTACTGTAGACTATAGAGGTAGAGTAAGGATTGGGGTTTGGTTGAGGGTTTGTCACATGCCTGTCCTGTCTTGTGTTGCACTTGGGTGTTTGTTGTTTGGTACCATGTGTTCTCTTGTCATTGTATACCCCGCCCATCTTGTTATCTCATTATTGGTTCATTTGCCCCACCTGTCTGTTCGTTAGCCTCCCTTGTTTGCCTCTCTATTTAATCTCCTTGTGTTCTCAGTACTGTGCTGGTTCGTTGTCCATGTTACCCTGGTTCATGTTAATCGTGTTTTAGTGTATCTTGTATCCTGCCTGTTTTCTATCTAGTTTTCCCCCACGAGGGAGTTTTTGTTCTTGTTTTATGTGTTATTATTTTCTTAATAAATACCCATTGTTTGCACTTGAGTCCTCACACCTTTTTCCCAACCCGTTCCGTGACAGAACGAACCAGCCATCTGAGGATTCAGCACGATGGGTGAGGAGGATTCTGATTGTTGGGATTATGACGCTTGCATGGATGACGATGACTTGGATTGCCCGGACTATAGTATTGCTACATTTGGATCGACACAATTCTCGACGATCTGTTGTGACGGAAGGACTTCGCCAAAACCTATTTCCAGCGGTATGGTTTCGAACTTCTCTTCCCCAGCCACTGAGCGGGAGAGGACCAATTTTCAGGGGACCCGCCTGGTAATTTTTCGTGGGACTCGGGGAGGTCGTGGAGGAGGAGGTGGTAGAGAGGAGGTTCAACACCACCTTCCATCCTGGCCCCCCTTCGATCCTGGGCCAGTGAGAGACAGTTCAGGACTAACTTCTCGCCGTCACGGACGGAAAGGGAGGAGGGGACGCACATCTGTCCAGCGAGAGACTGTCCACGTCCCGTCTGCCCAGCGAGAGACTGTCCACGTCCCGTCTGCCCAGCGAGAGACTGTCCACGTCCCGTCTGCCCAGCGAGAGACTGTCCACGTCCCGTCTGCCCAGCGAGAGACTGTCCACGTCCCGTCTGCCCAGCGAGAGACTGTCCACGTCCCGTCTGCCCAGCGAGAGACTGTCCACGTCCCGTCTGCCCAGCGAGAGACTGTCCACGTCCCGTCTGCCCAGCGAGAGACTGTCCACGTCCCGTCGGCCCAGCGAGAGACTGTCCACGTCCCGTCTGCCCAGCGAGATACGGTTAACGTTCCGTCTGCCTTCCTGAGCTGGGACTATCTGGAGCGTCTGGCTCGGATATTGGACATGCCCGTTCCAGAGGCAGAGGCCGTGCCCGTTCCAGAGGCAGAGGCCGTGCCCGTTCCAGAGGCAGAGGCCGTGCCCGTTCCAGAGGCAGAGGCAGAGGCCGTGCCCGTTCCAGAGGCAGAGGCAGAGGCCGTGCCCGTGCCAGAGGCAGAGGCCGTGCCCGTGCCAGAGGCCGTGCCCGTGCCAGAGGCAGAGGCCGTGCCCGTGCCAGAGGCAGAGGCCGTGCCCGTGCCAGAGGCAGAGGCCGTGCCCGTGCCAGAGGCAGAGGCCGTGCCCGTGCCAGAGGCAGAGGCCGTGCCCGTGCCAGAGGCCGTGCCCGTGCCAGAGGCAGAGGCCGTGCCCGTGCCAGAGGCAGAGGCCGTGCCCGTGCCAGAGGCAGAGGCCGTGCCCGTGCCAGAGGCAGAGGCCGTGCCCGTGCCAGAGGCAGAGGCCGTGCCCGTGCCAGAGGCAGAGGCCGTGCCCGTGCCAGAGGCAGAGGCCGTGCCCGTGCCAGAGGCAGAGGCCATGCCTGTTCCGGACCTTGTGTTTGTGTCTGTCCTTGTTCTAGTGTCTGTTCCTGAGCCGGTGCTTGTCCCTGAGCCGGAGGCAGAGCCGGTGCCTGTCCCTGAGTCGGAGCTCATGTCAGTTCCGGACCCAGTGTTTGTGTCTGTGTTTGTGTCTGTCCTTGTGACTGTTTTTGTTCTAGTGTCTGTTCCCGAGCCGGTGTCTGTTCCCGAGCCGGTGTCTGTTCTTGAGCCGGTGTCTGGTCCTGAGAGGGCTTCACCGTCCTGGCCACCCGAAAGGTCTGCTCCACCCTGGCCGCCCGAGGGGTCTTCACCGCCCTGGCCACCTGAGGGGTCGTCACCGCCCTGGCCACCCGAAAGGTCTGCACCGCCCCGGCCACCCGAGAGGTCTTCTCCGCCCTGGCCGCCCGAGGGGTCTGCACCACCCTGGCCACCTGATGGACTTCGTGTTTCGTCCTGGCCACCCGATGGACTTTGTGTTTCGCCCGGGTCTCCCAGGACTAAGAGATTTGTCCCTCCCGTCCCGCCCTGGTTTAATCCTCCCATCCCGCCCTGGTTTGCTCCTCCCGTCCCGCCTGATGGAGCGTCTGGTAGCCGCTCCGTAGGGAGGGGGTAATGTCACATGCCTGTCCTGTCTTGTGTTGCACTTGGGTGTTTGTTGTTTGGTACCATGTGTTCTCTTGTCATTGTATACCCCGCCCATCTTGTTATCTCATTATTGGTTCATTTGCCCCACCTGTCTGTTCGTTAGCCTCCTTTGTTTGCCTCTCTATTTAATCTCCTTGTGTTCTCAGTACTGTGCTGGTTCGTTGTCCATGTTACCCTGGTTCATGTTAATCGTGTTTTAGTGTATCTTGTATCCTGCCTGTTTTCTATCTAGTTTTCCCCCACGAGGGAGTTTTTGTTCTTGTTTTATGTGTTATTATTTTCTTAATAAATACCCATTGTTTGCACTTGAGTCCTCACTCCTTTTTCCCAACCCGTTCCGTGACAGGGTTAGTTGCATGTAACTATGCATCATTTATAGTTATTACTACAGTAACTACATGTAACAAGTGCAACAAGGACACTGTCAAAATAAAGTGTTACCAAATAAAGTGTAACCGCAAAATCCTTCCCTGTTAAAACTAGTTAGACCAGTTTAAATGTAACTGCCTTAGCCTATCCTTACACAACATGTTTCCAGTTCTAACCAAACTAAACACTCAAAGTTGAGTAAGTGCTGTCCAATAAGAGTGACAGGAGTGGCAATTCTGGTCAGTATATTATCAGATTTAAATATGTCTGTCATGTTTAAAATTGAATGCCTAGACTAGACGCACAGCAACGCTTGGATTTTTCTCTCTGAAATCCTGCTCTAGAAATTACAAAGGTCACTGAGTTGCTCATTTCTTGAATCCATTATGATTCAAAGATCAGTATCTGATGTAATGATTGTTAAGCGATCCCTTGGTCAGCACCTGGACTTTAAACAGCCAGTGAGGTGAACCTTGCCAAGGTGTACCATAAACATTATATTCCAGATGTGTGTATTCGGGAGGGGTTATAATAAGGGGAATGTGCAAAACTGAATGATAAAAGAACGAGGACATTGCAAACAGCGGAGAAAAAATGAGAGATTACGATGAAATCACTTCTTTTCTGGGAACATGGGGTCCGTTCCAGCTGACTGTTTTCTTTGCATTAGCTATAAGTATCCTTCCAAATGGTTTTGTGGGCCTCTACATCGTTTTCGTGGGTGATACGCCACCTCACGAGTGTCTGATCCCTGAGGAGAACAACATCAGTGACGTGTGGAGAGAAGCCGCAATCCCAACGGAGATGCAAGATGGCGTTTCGAAGCGCAGTTCCTGCTCCAGATACAACATGGAAACACTGAGACAGTTCTCCATGCGTAACTACACCCCAAATGTGGATGTCAATGTCAGTGAGATAGAGACAGAGTCCTGTATGAATGGCTGGAACTACAGTAAAGTGATTTACGAGTCTACGATAGTGACAGAGGTGAGTCGCTGTACTGTTGCTGTACGGTCTAATGTCCAACTGACCAAACTGATCTTGAGATAAATCTGGATGATCCTTTGAAGATCAGAAACTGCCACCTTTGACTTGTTTCTGTTTAACATATATCCAGCTTCCCTGAGATTAGTTTTTAACTGCTTTGAGACAAGAAGGTTGAGCTTTTAATAATGGGGCAATCCAGACACGTAATCCAATGTACAGGCAACAGGACACACGACACAAGTAGGCAGTCCAAACAAACAAAACTCACAAGATTGGGAACGAGGCAAACGGGAAATCCAGAGAGTCTAAAAACAGGGAGCCAGAGAAATGCTCAGAAATGCAGCGCAACAACATACACAACTTCACAGTGAGTGAATGAGAAAACCAGGGGCACGTTCAAGTTCAAAACGGTGCGCAACGGTTTGAGTCATGTTTCCTGGAAACGGCGTGTGTGTGCACCGGGGTTTGAGATGCGTTTTCTCTTGTTTGGTGGGTGTGTCAGAACTCCAGTCCAATCAGCAGCAACATGTATATAAAGCACGCCGTATTAAAGTGAACTCGCACAATGGGTTCAAGGGAAGTCATTTACAAATGTGTTCGATGCAGCTCGGTATACGCAACAACTAAACTGAGGATATTAGAAGACATGTTTGTCGTAAGTTTTATTGTAAAAATATAGGATATCAAGATAATGATGCAGTTGTTTATATTTTTAGCTTCATTGCAAGTGTATGACATTTGGAATAATTCCCACCGAAGGACACAGTAGTAACAGCAAAGATAGGTTTGCTGTATTGATGATGATGATAATGTCATGTTAAGGATGGTTTAGTTTTAAAAAATAATGAAAAACACAATTCTCCAACAACAGAATACCCCTGCATCGATACCTTGCAAATGGCGGCTACGCCCCATAATGCACTTCGTGTATCACGAGTGTGACGTCACCTGACAAAGACCGTATGGGTAATAGAGGTCTGCACGGGCTTTAAACTGAAGCCCGAACCCGGCCCGTACCCGCGATCATTTAACCCGACCCGACCCGACCCGACAATTACATTTACATATTAAGCCCGAACCCGACCCGAACCCGAGGTCCATTCTGTTTCTCACAGCAATACCATTTTTGCAATATGCTATGTTGTATTTAATGATTGCTTGACATATTAAACAAATACATGTAGGCGCAGCGGCCCTATCAGCAGGCAGCACAGCAGTAAGAGAAAAAACTTACCAAGTAATTTTTTGCTTTATCAGACTCATGGTTTGCTTGTTGTCGTCGGCTGTTTGTATTGTGACTGAAATAGCGCGCGAGAGCGGTAGCACATGCGCAAAACAGTTTTGTGATATAAATGATATGATAAAATAAAACAAATAATTAAAAATATTATATTCATATATCATTATATTTGAGAGAGAGAGCCTGTATGCACATATTGCACATCTGCGGACGTAGCCTATACTTTCTCTCTCGCGCGTGCCGGTCACCACAACACAGCAAGCAGGCAAAGCACACGGCACGCAAACTATATATAGCCAATTTCGTTTTTCTTAGTTAAACCCGAACCCGACCCGAACCCGAGGCTGTTCATTAACATTAACCCGAACCCGACCCGAAACCCGCACATTTTTCGGGACCCGTCGGGCTCGGGTCGGGTAGCAGACCTCTAATGGGTAATACTGTTTTTCGCGGCAATTACTATACACAATATTGTTACCGTGGGCACTTCAAAATACTGTGAATAATTCTGGATGACATATTATCTTAACTGTTTTCATTTCTCTGAACTTACAGAAGCTTAATTTCCATCAATAAGTCAAGAGAGCACTATAATGCAACCCTTATGGGCTGTTAACACTGTGGTGTGCCACATCTGACTGAGAACGAGAGAGAGTGAAAACTAAACCTAAAATGAGAAGCATGTCTGAAGTAGGGCCGATTAGGGGTGAACAAATGATCTATCTGAAAATGAAAGTGCATTACGGAATTTAATAATCGTTTTTCGTGCAATAATATTTTAGGCCGTTTCCGATTACATGTGCGCTGCCACAAACGCAGAGCATGTGAGATTGAGGAAACAAATGCGTGTTAAATAAAAAAAAATCATCCTGCCAAGTTTGAATTATTCATAAATGTATGCGTCAGTTTTTAACAAAGTAATTTTTTGTTTTCGTCCCCATGCAGTTGCGATATCTATTATGCATGGTTAGGGTTAGAACATTTGGAGAATATACACTGCGCTGCAACCTTTCGTTTATTATGTGTTATGTAAGAGAATATGTGCAATCAGCAACAAAATAAACCCCGGAGAATGCAACACTATTACAGTAATAATAATACTGTACTGAATCTTTTTTAATGCAATCAGAATCACATATTATAGGGAGCCATGTAATAAACGTCATTTAGTTGTTTATTTAATAATTGTGCTTAAAGATGGTTGTTATTCCCTTATTAATAATAGACTTAATTTATATTTTAACAGTAAAATATTCTGTTGCATGAAAAACAAATCTACTTAGCATATTTGCATATTATAAATAATGATTTATTTTTGGATTAATTTAAATGTTCATTTAGTTTCTTAAATGTTCAAGATTCTTTTCTTTTTTTATTTAATTTTTCCAAAATGCCAGTTGATGTTTAACAAGTAACTAAAACATTTGAACAGCAATAAAGTTTCATTGTTAAAACTGGATTAGTTACGGTAACGGCCCTCGAGAGCCACCAGAGGGCGCTCCACATCACACTATTGTCATTCCCTCACAAACTACATCTCCCATAACGCACTGCCCGGCGGACTCTTCATCACTGATCACATTCACCTGTGTCTCGTTGCCTTGTTTAACTCACCCCATATAGACTGGGCTGCGTTCAGCCCCGACAAAACGTTGCACAACGTTTTTTAAACAGAAACGGTGATGCGTTGAACACACTGTTCTGATGACGCAAGAGTTGCAACTGGCAGCTGAGAAGGCCATTCTTTGTGTTCTTTGTGAAGAATTTTCGGCGCCTGATGAAGTCGGTATAAATATGTGTTTAATACTACAAAATATGCCCGATGTTGCAGTTACTGCACTTGCCGCCCAGAACACAAGAGAACATCCCAGTCGAGTGAAGGGATTTGTGGAGACTGAAATGGAAGCACACATCTAACCTAATTCAGACCAAAACACATCTATTTAGCCTCACATACTGACTTTATTTGTAGTTCATACTGTTTTAATACCCTGTATTTTCTTTCTCATTTTTAGGAAAAGCACTTAATTACCATTGGCAGGCTCTCAAGTTTTATCAAAAGCTTGGAGTGAGATCACATGCGGTTAGGGGAGGAGCCCAAGGGGAGGAGCCCCAGTGGAGCCCCGCCCCCCAATTTTACCCATTGTTCATAATTAACCAGCACAACTTAAAATTATAACAATTGGTAAATCTGATAAATGACAGAGCAATTCATCACATCAAATATACTCTTTAATGTATAAATTGCTCCAAACAGTTTGGAAAAACAAATCTTTTTGCATTTTTCCCTGACATCTTTGAAAAATACAAATGCAATGGCAATGATTAATGTATGTTTTGACAGGATATAAAATATTACCCAGAGCACTCTGCCTTAATACATGTAGCCTTAATGTAACTAGAAAGACTATTAATACAGTATAATATATAATTTAAAATAAAATTCAATTCTTCGATAAACTTCATTCCTTCCCATACCCACTAACATTTCCCTTAGCAAAAGCTTCTGGCCTGGTTGCAAAGTAGTTGTAGAATTTTTGACTGCACAAATAATAATGTATACGATTGGCTATATATTAAATGTTCTAGCCTAAAAATGTTAGACGAGCTTTCTTCCAACTTACCTTCTCCATCACGACCTATGATCACGACGTGTGTTCGCGCGATATTGTTAACGAACGTACGGTGGCCGACAATGTGTGTGCGTACGTTCGCGCCATCTATGCGTTCGCGCGATGCCCGAGAATGTTCTGTCAACTTCCGTGTGTTCGCGCATCTATGTTGCCTAGTAACGAGCGCAATCTGGCCGAGATACGGACGCGCTGGCGGCAGGAATCTTCACTTTGTGTGCCTGCGCCTCGTATACAACGTTATATAAAGCTTGCAGGACAACTTATTGGCATTGCCTTTTCAGCGTGAGAAATACACTGTGTGGCGTGTGAGCGTGTGAACTGGTTGAATTGCGTGTGTCTCACGGCCAATGCGTGAGACTTGAGAACCCTGGTAAATAAATCCTGTACTCAGCCGTTGGTAAAATGTCCGTGGGTTTTAAGAGATTTATAGTTTTTAAATTGTTCACTGGTATATGCGCTTATACCATAAACAAGATAGTTGACAATGTCCCAGTATGAGGATGAGAAAGCAATGCGGGATCAGCACTCCAATTTACTGCAGTCAGCTCATTTATGGATCTATGTTCTGAATGGATGACAATTTCTCCAAATAACAGTACCTGCCATATTTATCGAGTTTATTGTGGTACGGCATTTCCTCTGTTTTCTTGTGTTTCTCCAGTTTTGCAAGTTATTTACATGTTATCTCTACTCTTGTAATCTGTTCAATGCTCACAGTCAGTAGCGATACCTCAAAAATGGCGCCTGCGGTGACGTCACACACAACAAACCCACGTGTCTGACAAAGACCGATTAACGGCACACGTCTACTTCAAGCACACATTCTTTTTGTTTAGTTACTTCTCTGTGTTTGTGTTTTTCAGTGGGACCTGGTTTGTGAGGACGAGTACAAAGGCCCACTGACCTCATCTATATACTTCTTTGGTGTGTTGGTGGGGACCTTTCTTTCAGGACAGATGTCTGACAGGTTAGCGCCACAATCCAAGCCTCGAATCTTCACACGAAATACACTAATAGTTAATAGAGCAGACAGCTAAGCTAAACCTCGACATTCAATACGTGGAATTCAAATATGACTCTAAAATGCTCAAATATGATGTGATATGTGCAGGTACGGCAGAAGACCTATACTTTTTGCCATGATGGCTATGCAGACAGTGACCATCATAATCCAGATGTTTTCTCCAAGCTGGGAAATCTTCACTGCCATCTACTTCCTTGTGGGATTCAGTGGTTTTTCTAATTATGTTGTTGCATATGTCTTGGGTAGGCCTAAAACCATGAATTACAATCATTCGCACGATTTCAAAAGTCATCTGTGTCTCCTCTTATTTGAATGCATTCCTCCTGATGAACAGGTTGTGAGATTCTGAGTCCAGCGAGTCGGGTGGTGTTCGGTTCTCTGGGTATCTTCATGGGATCTGGGATTGGTCAGATGTTCTTTCCATTAGCAGCTTACTTCATCCGCAGCTGGCGATGGCTGGTGCTCACGAACGCCCTCACTGGACTCCTGTATCTACCGCTGTGGTGGTGAGTGTGAAGACAGACTAAAGCTCAATCCCAATTCACCCCTTGGCCCCGTTTTGCGCATTCACGTCTAGGGGTAGGGTGTCCCGATTCTTGTTGAGATAGAGGAGTAGGCCTACATAGCCTTTTGAAACGGACATTTTTCAGAGGCACACTCGAACCGAGGGCTACGAGAAAGTTCACAGAATGCACCGCAAATCACCGAGATGGCTTCGCAAACGGTTAAACATTTACATTTAGCGCCAGATGACACCTTTATTTACTCTTATAATAATAATATAGGCATTTAAATCAAGAAATTGTATTATAATTACTTTTCCGAAACAGAAAAGACATACATTTCGAGAAAGGAATGTTATAATCATCATGTTTCCTCAAAGTTAAGAGCAGCTGCGCTGATTGTCAGTCGTTATCATGGAGAATCCTGTAAAAACTCAGTCAAAAATCGCCGACGACTGATGACGTATCGGGTTCATGAAGGGTTGTTCCATTTCGTAGAGGAATATTTGTAACTCTGTTTTAAGGGCCAAGAGGTACACTCGAAAACAAGGGGTAGGGGCAAGGGGTGAATTGGGATTGAGCCTAAAGGGGCGTTCACGAGCCCCCAGGATGGTTTCCCGAGGACTAATGGTTCCCATAGGAAGGTTTTCCTGGTTGCATTCGCACCGCCAGTAGGAACTCTGAGTGACGCGAGACACTTGCTGTTGTTGTGACTTTTATTTTGAAGGCGCTGAGAACGCCTGATCTCAAAGTGCCCAAATTCTCCGTGTTCATTAGTTTACGATCTGTCTTAGGCCCCATCCACACTACTACGTTTTAGTTTAGAAACGGAGACCTTTTGCTACGTTTGCACCTCCCGTCCAGACTAAAACGGCAAAAACAAAGACCTAAAACGGAGAAGTTTAGAAACGCTGCCGACCCCGTTTTGCCTTTTGAATCTCCGGATGGCGTTTTAGTGTAGACGGGTCAAAACGGAGGACTTTAGAAACGATGACGCAGAGGCTCACGCTCGGCTCTCTGATTGGCTGTCACACCATACATACCTTTAGTGATTTCGTCTTTATTGTGGGGTACACCTTCCCCATTGTTGTGTCTTGCTCTGGCGATGGATAATGCTCCCGGTGCCTTTCCAATATGTCGCCGTATTTGGTTTGCGACGACTCCCAGTCTGTGTTTTCTGCCGCCATGGCTGTTTTGTATTCCCTTTCTGTCATGACTTAACGAATAACAGGAAGCAATAGCAGGTAATAACTCTTTATTCAGTGGAAGTCCAAACAGAAAGACACGGGCGTGGAGGATGACACAGGGACGTCGATGGTCAGCGTGGTGAATCCCAAGTGGTGCAGTGAAGACAGATGAGAAACGATCCACAAGCGGTGATAATCCCCAACCGACGATAATCCACGAACAAGACGAAATCCACAGGTACACACGACGAGAGACTCAGGAACACAAGACTGGAACACGGACACATCCAACAACGATCTGACAATGGAGATGAGAACACTGTGAGCATAAATAGTGAATGAGATCGGCTGCAGCTGGTGATGAGATGATGATCAGCTGGAGCGGATCAAGGAATGACACACACTCACTCACGCCCACCACACACGTGCTTTCATGCAACAACAATAACACGAGACGAGAAGGAAGCAAATGGATTTGTATACCGTGACAGTACCCCTTCTCCTAAGAACGCCTCCTGACGTTCTCAGAACTCCTTACCTGTCGATTGTAATCATCGATCAGAGAGTGATCCAGAATGTCTCTAGCAGGTACCCAACTTCTCTCCTCCGGACCGTAACCTTCCCAGTCCACCAAGTACTGAAATCCGCGTCCCCTCCGCCTCGAATCCAGAATACGATTAACCGAATAGGTGGTATCCCCATTTACGAGACGCGGCGGGGGGGGAACCGGGACTGGCGGATTAATGTGTGAACGAAACACAGGCTTAATTTTGGAAATGTGAAAAACGGGGTGTACCCTCCTGTACGCTGGAGGTAAACTAAGGCGGACTGCCACCGGACTAATGATCTTGGTGACAGAGAATGGGCCAATAAATTTGGGAGCAAGCTTATTAGAGACGGAACGGAGAGGAATGTTCTTAGTAGAAAGCCACACTTTTTGACCGACGACGTATATGGGAGGCTTAGACCGGTGGCGATCGGCCCTCGCCTTGGTGCGCGCCCCCACTTGGAGTAAAGTCTCACGGGCTCTAGTCCAAGTGCGGTGACACCTCTGGATTAAGGCGTGTGCGGAGGGAACCGCGACTTCGGATTCCAGACTGGGAAAAATAGGTGGCTGGTAACCTAAACTACATTCAAACGGAGATAGGCCCGTGGCCGACACTGGTAACGTGTTGTGGGCGTACTCCACCATGGAAAGTTGCTGGCTCCATGAGGAAGGATTCTTGGAAACTAAACATCGCAACACCCTTTCCAGATCTTGGTTGGCTCTCTCGGTTTGACCATTGCTCTGGGGATGAAACCCTGAGGATAAACTAACCGTCGCCCCCAGTAATTTACAAAATTCTTGCCAAAATTTGGACACAAACTGGGGTCCTCTGTCAGAGACCACGTCCATCGGGAGGCCATGTAAACGAAAGACGTGGTCAATGACTGTCAACGCTGTCTCCTTAGCTGAGGTTAATTTGGGTAAGGGAATGAAATGAGCCGCCTTCGAGAACCGGTCCACCACGGTCAAAACGACTGTGTTACCCTGGGAGGGTGGGAGGGCGGTGATAAAATCGAGAGCGATATGGGACCAGGGTCTCGAAGGAACTGGCAGCGGTTGAAGGAGCCCATCTGGGGGTCGATTGGAAGTTTTACCAGTGGCACAAACCGAACAAGCCAAAACAAAACTGTGAATGTCACGAGCCATGAGTGGCCACCAGAATCGTTGCTTGACTAGAAACTTAGTACGATAAACTCCTGGATGACAAGCCACGTTGGAGCAATGACCCCACTGAATGACGTCATAAGCGATTCGGTGGGCAACCGGGCGGAGGCGTTACCCCTTCTAAGGCCGTCTTGACCTTCGATTCGACCTCCCATACGAGTGTGGAGACAAATAGACTCTCCGGTAAAATCCACTCGGGAGTAGACGGCCGTTCGGAAGGATCAAAAATGCGAGATAAAGAGTCGGGTTTGATGTTCTTAGACCCCGGGCGGTGCGAGAGAGAAAAATCAAAACGTCCGAAAAAAAGTGCCCACCGAGCCTGCCTGGAGTTCAATCTTTTGGCAGTTCTGATGTATTCTAAATTCTTGTGATCAGTCCAGACTATAAAGGGTACCCCAGAGCCCTCTAACCAATGACGCCATTCCTCCAACGCTAACTTGACTGCCAACAACTCCCTGTTACCAATGTCGTAATTGCGTTCAGCTGAGGATAACCTATGGGAAAAAAACGCGCAAGGATGCATCCTGTCGTCTGTGGGAGAACGCTGGGACAGGACTGCTCCTACCCCCACCTCTGACGCATCGACCTCCACCACGAACTGCCGTGAATAGTCAGGGGCAACGAGGATGGGAGCTGAAACAAAGCGGCTCTTGAGTTTGGCAAATACAGCCTCGGCTGTATCTGACCACCTGAACGGAGTGCTGGGGGAGGTCAAGGCAGTCAGAGGTGCGGCTAGCTGGCTGAAATTACGAATGAAACGTCGATAGAAATTGGCGAACCCCAGAAACCTCTGTAGGGCCTTACGGGAATCTGGACTTGGCCATTCTACCACAGCCTTAACCTTCTCAGGGTCCACACGCATTCCCTCAGACGAGATGATGTATCCTAAGAAAGGAACAGACTGTGCATGAAAATCGCATTTCTCCGCCTTGACAAAAAGCCCATTCTCTAACAACCTCTGAAGCACTCGTCGGACGTGTTGCATATGTTCCTGGAGAGACGAGGAAAATATCAATATGTCATCCAGGTAAACATATATGAACTGATCTATCATGTCTCGTAACACGTCATTGACCAGTGCCTGGAAGACTGCTGGAGCGTTGGACAGCCCAAAAGGCATGACCAAATATTCAAAGTGCCCCCTGGGGGTGTTAAAAGCAGTCTTCCACTCATCCCCCTCCCTGATGCGAACCAAATGATAAGCGTTACGCAATTCCAATTTCGTGAAGACGGACGCTCCCTGCAACCTCTCGAAAGCTGAAGACATCAACGGCAAAGGATAAGTATTCTTTACCGTGATGTTATTCAACCCCCGGTAATCAATACAAGGTCGCAGAGACCCGTCCTTCTTCCCCACAAAAAAGAACCCCGCCCCCGCTGGAGAAGAGGAAGGGCGGATGAACTTGGTTGCCAGAGAATCAGAAATATATTTCTCCATAGCCTCCCTTTCAGGAACAGAAAGTGAGTATAGCTTGCCTTTAGGCGGAGACTTACCTGGCATTAAATCTATGGCACAGTCATAGGGACGATGAGGAGGAAGAGAAGCAGCACGAGACTTACTGAACACTTCCTTCAGATCGTGGTACTCCTCGGGCACGTTAGACAAATCCCCTACCTCCTCCTGAAACACACAAACAGGCACAGACGGACAAGCAGACACGAGACAAGACTTATGACATTCCTTGCTCCACTCCAGTATAGTTTTATGTTGCCAGTCCACTCGGGGGTTGTGATGGATGAGCCAGGGATGTCCAAGAACAATGGGTACCAGGGGTGAATCCAGAATGTAAAAACTAATAGTCTCGGAGTGATTGCCTGAAGTGATGAGGGTAATGTTTTCCGTGATAAATGAAATGGTGGGGAGTTCTTGGCCGTTGAGTGCGTGAACATCAATCCTTTGTGTGAGTGGTTTGAGGGGAATCTGAAATCTGTGTGCAAAAGTGCTGTCCATGAAGTTACCTTCAGCCCCGGAATCCAAAAGTGCTCGACAATCGTGCTGGTGAGCTGACCATCTCAGTCTTACAGGAAGGAGAGTAGATGTGGATGAGGTCTTCTTGGCGGAGATCCCACCCGATAGTAGCCTCATGCTTACTATTGGGCTTGGCCTTTTACCGGGCAGTTGTAAGCGAAGTGTCCCGTGCCTCCACAGTATAGGCAAAGGCCCTGGGATCTCCGCCTTTCCTTCTCCTCCCTGGAAAGCCGAGCTCGACCCACCTGCATGGGTTCGTGATCGAAGACTGGGCTGACCGTGTCCCTGCCGCTGGACCGTTGTTCCTCGACTCCTCCTGTAGAACGGGTGGACAAAGCTCTGCTCCCGACCCTAGCCAGCCGAGCGTCCACCCGTAGAGCCAGTTCGATGAGGCCGTTGAGAGATGTTGGCAGGTCCAGGGCGTAGATCTCCCTCTGGACACGGTCAGCCAACCCATGCAGGAACATGTCCCACTGCGCCTCCTCGTTCCACTGACATTCGGCCGCCAGGGTTCGGAACTCGATCGAAAAATCCGAGACCGACCTCTCACCTTGACGGAGGTCGGCCAGCACCCTAGCGGCCTCTCTCCCCGCGAAGGCACGATCGAATACCCGTCTCATTTCCGCGGAGAGTGCCGGGAACGAGGCACAGCAGGGATCTTGATTTTCCCACACCGCCGTCCCCCACAGCGCTGCTTTACCGGTCAGTAGAGTCAACACAAACGCCACTTTCGCCTGCTCATTTTGAAATGTTCTGGGCTGTAGAGCAAAATGCATGGCACATCTGGTCAGGAATGCTCTACAGTATGCAGACTCACCCGCGCAGCTCTCTGGAACAGGTAGGCGTGGTTCGCTGTGCGCTGGGATCTCAGGTGGAATGGGGGGAACGGCTGGTGTGGGCGGCGCAGCGGGAGCTCGAAGAAGTAGAATCTGCTGGGTCAGCTCGGACACCTGTGTCACCAAAGTTTGAACCGCACGACCCGTGTCATTCAGATTCTTCTCCTGCGAATCCATTCTTCTCATACTATGTTGCACAAAGTCCTCCAAACTAAATGTTGACGTACCCGCTGCTTCCATGGTTGCGTCAGATCGTTCTGTCATGACTTAACGAATAACAGGAAGCAATAGCAGGTAATAACTCTTTATTCAGTGGAAGTCCAAACAGAAAGACACGGGCGTGGAGGATGACACAGGGACGTCGATGGTCAGCGTGGTGAATCCCAAGTGGTGCAGTGAAGACAGATGAGAAACGATCCACAAGCGGTGATAATCCCCAACCGACGATAATCCACGAACAAGACGAAATCCACAGGTACACACGACGAGAGACTCAGGAACACAAGACTGGAACACGGACACATCCAACAACGATCTGACAATGGAGATGAGAACACTGTGAGCATAAATAGTGAATGAGATCGGCTGCAGCTGGTGATGAGATGATGATCAGCTGGAGCGGATCAAGGAATGACACACACTCACTCACGCCCACCACACACGTGCTTTCATGCAACAACAATAACACGAGACGAGAAGGAAGCAAATGGATTTGTATACCATGACACTTGTAACTTTAAGTAAAAGTTCCACCTCGTCGTCGGTCCATGAAAAGAAAAGAAATCTCTGGTCTTAGACATTGCTAATCTTTGCAGAGGTAACTTAGCTACGCTCGTCTTCGTCAAATCTGAGGAATAGTCAATCTGTTTCTGTTCACACCGGCACACGCATGCCCAGTGTAGGTGAATGGTCACGTGATCCGCATTTTCAGTCGTTTTAATGTGGACGGAGATCGTATTCGTTTTAATTCTCCATTTCTAAACTAAAGCGCAGTAGTGTGGATGGGGCCTGAGAGTTCTGTCTCATACGGTATTAGATAGAATTGTTATAAATAGAAAGTAAACAGTAATGAAAAGTTATTAGCGTATGCATGTGTTGATGTCCAGTGTTGCTGAGGAATGTTTCTCTTGCTCTCCTCAAAGTTGCATTGGATTTTCTCCTCAGCGTAAAGATTAAGGGTTTCATCTATCACTGTTTTACATGTTCGTAGAGTTAGTTTGTGGAGTAAATATATAGGCTATAATCTGTGTGTTTACTCAGCTTTTTTTAAATGGCGGGTGCTGGTGTTTCAAGTGCGTTCGGCCAATCAGAGAACACTAACGCCACTGTAGCTCCTATAGCGCTGGTCTAGACCGACTCTGAAGGACGAGTAAATTAGTTCCTCAAAGGAGTTTCTAGAGCTCAAATCGTTCCCAGTTCCTGCGGTGCGAACGCGCCAAAAACACCAATAGTTGTAGGAACTATGAAAGGTTCCTCCGGTGCGAAAGCCCATTAAGGTAAAGCCACAGAGAATATAAAGAAAGATCAGGTGTAAAGAATCAAGGTAACGCATGAAGAAAGTGATTTCATAGTAACATAAAACAGGTGTAAACCAGGGAAAGCAGGAGCTCATTAATAAATGGGAAAAGTCCTCCAATCACAGAGACTGTGGACATACTGTATTTTATTTTTGAGACTATGTGTGAATATTAGTTGTCTTCAGCTACTGTGTACCTAACAAAAGGGGTCATTCATTGAGAAAAGTGTGGTGAAAATCAAACTTTTAATGTTGTTTATATGTCTAAGTTGTGTTTTTAATATGCTTTAAGACAAATTATGACAAATTCAACACCATTGCGAAGTATTTTTATTTTCATTAAAACTGCAGTCTCAAAAACACGGTTTGAAATCGCTGGTGTTTCTGACGTCACAAACGACCTTGTAACCAATCAGATCAACGTGTGATCGTCAACCAGTGGATCTCTGAGCTGAGGGAGTGAGTGGAGGCGGGGCTCATTTGCATATTCATAGAACCACGAATGCTAAATGAGGCAAGGGTGTCGAGTTACATTCAAGATATTTTAAGGCATGAAGAATTTTTTTAAAGGAAAAAAAAACATGTAAATATATCATTTTGGTGATCAAAGATGAGTTTTAAGGGATACAACTTTTGACTGCAGGGGGACTTTAACCCTTTTCATAAGAGCTCATTGCATCTAACTATAAAACACTGTAAGTTTCAGAGCTCAAAACTTCCTTGTTAGTCTAAAAACCGCTTTTATTGAAACTAAGTCTTGACTAAGGTTGAGAAAACTGTGTTTATTTTCAACTGTGTGCAGTTTACTGCTCTGGCCACATCTTTACATATGCTCATCTCTCAGCATGAGAAAAATAGCTACATGAAATATACAAAAATATCTTAAGTTGGTCCACACTGAGAACATAATTATAGTCTTAATAATTTAAAGTGCTAAATATTAACATTATTTAATTACTATTTATAGTAAAGGCTTAAAGTACAGTGGCTTGAAATGCTGACAAAAACGGACAAATTTACATCTCTTGAATTAATATTTAAAGCTGAATAAACTGACTGAAACTGAACTAGTAAGAAAAGAGTTTGTGTTTGTCATGCGCAGGTTTATTCCCGAGTCTCCCCGATGGCTTCTCTCTCAGGGACGGATAGCAGAGGCCGAGGCCATACTGAGACTCGCGGCTCACAAGAACAAGGTCTCCGCTCCTGAAGTCCTCTTCACTTCATCTGAGGTCTGAACTTTAGACAAACACGCCCTGAATAAACTCAGACCTGCTCCAGTTTCATTGATGCTTCTCATGTCTCCTTAGATTGAGGAGGCAGCAAAGATGAGGGAGAAAAAGCACAATATTCTGGATATTCTGAGGAACTCTAATGCTGTTTTAACCATCACGATTTGTTCATTTCTGTGGTATGCAGTAATATTTTTCTACAAATATTTTTTTTAATTTCTACTTGGTTAAAATCATTAACTATATTACTTTCAAGTTTCTCATCTAACACACCAGATCTGTCCGACCTGAACTGGCTGTCTCAGGCCTTGTCCACACGAACACGTTTCCGTTTAGAAACGCATCTTTTTCTCTCCGTTTTGTCTTCCGTTCACACTAAGACAGAGTTTTTATTCATGAAAACGAAGCTTTTAGAAAACGCTAAATTTGAAAACGCTGTTTTCGTGTTGTAGTGTGGACTGTCAAACCGGAGGGATTTAAAAACGATGATGTAAGTTTAGTCATGTGACCAGCGCTTGACATTAACTTTTTTGCTCACTAGCCAATGTGGCTAGTGGTTTTCCAAAATGACTAGCCACGCAGCATTTTTACTAGCCACAGTTTTGTTGTTGTACGTTTTATATGATTAAAATTGACAATGGGGCTGAAAACGTGCTAAAATTAACTAATATTATCATTAGCTCTGATAAGGTTGTTAAGCTCCTTTTTTGATAACATGTTGTCTAAGATACACATAAAATAGCTTCTTATTGTATATAATAAAAGTGCTGCATTGTTTGTTTGTTTTTTGTTTTACAGCAGTAAATACTGCAATACAGAGTAGAACAATTATCTGCATTAGAAACAACGAGCAAAGAATAAATAATAATTTTAAAGAAAAAATCCACAATTAAGGCACCAGGATTACAACTTTATATAGGCTATATAGGACTATATAGGACTTTGGATTGTTTGTTTTGCATCAGCTTTTCCTCAGAGCTCTGACTTAATAATTATCATCATGAAGCTCTGAGTAACTGGAGATATGTCCACCTGAAACAAGTATAGGCCTACAGGTCTTTATTTTCCAGATTATTCCCACAAGCGCATCTCCTGCTTTCTTTCATGGCATGATTAATTTTATTAAAACATAGAATTAACTCTGGAAAGATAGTTGTGATATGACGTGACATAAGGGCAGCCCTGCTAGTAGTTAGGCCTACACCGTGGCCCTTAATCATGAAGATGATTTTTGCTTTAATACCGGCCATGCACACTCACGAACTGACTGAACGCTGTGTTGATGTGTGTGTGTATGCGACCAGTCGCGTGTGATGATCGTTCGTTTGGCGCGCGCACCCTCGCGCAGCGGCACTGCAGGAGAGCGTGAGACACGCCGGTGGTCTGGATTCTCCTGCTATTAAAAAAAGATCGCTATATCATCACATTAAGTTGATAATTAAGGGCAGACTAAAACAGCCCAGTTCGTCGCACAGTCCGCGAGTTTAATCTCCGCGTGTCTTCTTGTTTGCAGTGTTGTCGTTCAAGAGGATTCACGAATGGACCAATGAGCAAACACTAAACTATGTGCAGGTGGTACTCATGGGAGTGGTAGTGGCATAGTGTCAAATTGCAATTCGTTTGTTATGTCAGATGTCCTTTGACAAGACTACAAATCTTCAACACGCCAAAGTGGCTAGTGAGAGTGACTGTGTTACCCGCCACGGGTGAAATGCACCCGCATTTGGCGGGTTGGCGGGTGTTAATGTCAAGCCCTGCATGTGACGCATGTTGTACCGATAGATATTCATGTTTATAGCGGTATAGTGTCTGTTATGAGCTGTTCACTTTCACACAGTTGCTGAAATATGTTCCTTCACACACTCTTCATATCACAGTCCTGCACAGATGACAGAGCTCACACACATCTGCTGTCCCGCGGTGAAACATGAGATCAGTTTTAGTGTTTCTGACCAAACATATAATGATGAGTGAGAGCGACCTGACGATCAGTGAATGATGAGATATTGCTAAATAAAATGATCCTGTCAGAAAAATTGCGCAATAACTTTATTATTTATTGTATCATCTCAGTGCTTCTGTGAGGGTTTACGCATGCGCAGTAAAGGGGAATTCAGCGTTTTCAGGCGTTTTCCAAAAGTTTCTCATCCGCACTGAAACGCCTGTAAGCGCTAGTGTGGACGGAGAGCGCTTTTAAGCTAAAACACTGTTTTCAAGCGTATCCGGATGAATGTAGACGTAGGCTGAGAGTCGCGAGACACCAGAGGAGGGCTGATATAAACAAGTGCTTCTTCACTCCTTCAGGATGGTCATCACCATGTCTTACTACGCTCTCATCCTGAACACCACAAACCTTCATGGAAACCCGTACCTGAATTTCTTCCTGTCTGCGGTGGTGGAGGTCCCAGCGTTCATCATAGCCATGCTTCTGCTCCGCTTCTGCGGGAGGAGGCTCTGTCAGGCCTCCACTCTTCTAATGGGTGGAGCAATGATCTTCATCATACAGCTCATTCCCACAGGTAAGACATGATCCTGTCCTGCTGCATCACACATCTAATTGTGTGGAAGTTACATGTAATTTACCAAACGTTTGTTAAGCGTCTGGACAAGTATCCTCGGGACAGCAATAGACAAACAATAAAATTACGATGAAGGTGCATTGGCTGTAATTTAGGAGCCAAATTACTTTTTCTCTTACTTGACAAATGACAGAATTGCCGGATAAAAATGGTTTATAAGCGCTTTATTTACACTCTAAAAAATGCTGGGTTGTTTTAACCCAATTTTGGTTCAAATTTGGACAAACCCAAACATTGGGTTAAAAAAGTAATTTTAAAATTTAACTCAACGGCTGGGTTTGTCCATGTTTGACCCAAAGTTGGGTTAAAAGCAACCCAGCATTTTTTAGAGTGTAGTACAGAGATTCTAAGCCTTTAGCAGTCACTTCTGCTCTGTGTTGAAGGGATGTTTTGGTACATGATCTACAAGGATTTCATTAATAAAAAACAAGAGTGTTTTTGTGCACAAATCTCAGTCTTCATTTCTGTCTATAAATTGTTTTGTGTCTATAGATATTTTTCAATTTTTAGCTTCCTTAACAATTGCTTGACATCAAAAAAAAAAGTTTTTGAAACTTTTCTGGTTTTCTAGAAAAATGTCTTGTTTGTACCAAATTCTGACCCGACCGTCTGAATGTCTCAGCTGAAGTCCAGACTCCAGTTTTGGTGAGCCCGTGAATCGTAGCCTCAGTATGCGGTGTGTCTTCTGTTGCTGTAGTCCGTAGTGATGTAGTACTCGAGACCGGTCTCGAGACCGTTTTCTGCTTTCTCGGACTCGTCTCGGACTTGTTCCTTCAAAGACTCGGTCTTGACTCGGACTCGGCATAGGCGGTCTCGTCCCCATCACTAGTTAAGACTGCTCCTCTAAACAATTCCCAATCTAGCTTAGTCTGTAGGCCTAACTGTTGATTATTAACTGGGGTGATATTAAATCATGAATATCAAAACTCAAGACAAAATCTCAACTCGGACTTGCTTCCACAAAGACTCGGTCTTGACTCGGAGTCGACTGTATTAACCAACGGACTCGGACTCGACCCTTCAAAGACTCGGTCTTGACTCGGACTCGACTGTATTTGAAAACCAATGGACTCGGTCTCGACTCGGACTCGACCCTTCAAAGACTCGGTCTTGACTCGGAGTCGACTGTATTAACCAACGGACTCGGACTCGACCCTTCAAAGACTCGGTCTTGACTCGGACTCGACTGTATTTGAAAACCAATGGACTCGGTCTCGACTCGGACTCGACCCTTCAAAGACTCGGTCTTGACTCGGAGTCGACTGTATTAACCAACGGACTCGGACTCGACCCTTCAAAGACTCGGTCTTGACTCGGACTCGACTGTATTTGAAAACCAATGGACTCGGTCTCGACTCGGACTCGACCCTTCAAAGACTCGGTCTTGACTCGGAGTCGACTGTATTAACCAACGGACTCGGACTCGACCCTTCAAAGACTCGGTCTTGACTCGGACTCGACTGTATTAACCAACGGACTCGGACTCGACCCTTCAAAGACTCGGTCTTGACTCGGAGTGGACTGTATTAACCAACGGACTCGGACTCGACCCTTCAAAGACTCGGTCTTGACTCGGACTCGACTGTATTTGAAAACCAATGGACACGGTCTCGACTCGGACTCGACCCTTCAAAGACTCGGTCTTGACTCGGACTCGACTGTATTTGAAAACCAATGGACTCGGTCTCGACTCGGACTCGACCCTTCAAAGACTCGGTCTTGACTCGGAGTCGACTGTATTAACCAACGGACTCGGACTCGACCCTTCAAAGACTCGATCTTGACTCGGACTTGACTGTATTAACCAACGGACTCGGACTCGACCCTTCAAAGACTCGGTCTTGACTCGGACTCGACTGTATTAACCAACGGACTCGGACTCGACCCTTCAAAGACTCGGTCTTGACTCGGAGTGGACTGTATTAACCAACGGACACGGACTCGACCCTTCAAAGACTCGGTCTTGACTCGGACTCGACTGTATTTGAAAACCAATGGACTCGGTCTCGACTCGGACTCGACCCTTCAAAGACTCGGTCTTGACTCGGAGTCGACTGTATTAACCAACGGACTCGGACTCGACCCTTCAAAGACTCGATCTTGACTCGGACTTGACTGTATTTGAAAATCAATGGACTCGGTCTCGACTCGGACTCGATCCTTCAAAGACTCGGTCTCGACTCGGACTCGGCATAGGCGGTCTCGTCCCCATCACTAGTAGTCCGTCTACTTCAGGGTTCCCAGCAAGCAATATCCGCCATTTCATCGCCTCGGTTAACTATAGTCCAGCTATGAGTAACACACTTCTAGTCAAAATAACCTTGAATTTGGTTACATGTCGTTTTTCCTAAATAACTTGCAAGATGTATGATATTCCTAGCCTGGCTCCGCCCTCCTACGCACTTCCGCTCAATTTTATTTTCCTTCAGTACTACGTCTGGGATTGTGCTGTAGACTTTGGTTTCCAGAAATAATTTTTTTACCGGTCCAATCAGCGAACAGAGGGAGTGGCTGAGAACGATGACGTTGATGTAGCGCGTCAGTTTGAGTTGGAGTTCAGTAATGGCAGCGGAGAAAGACGTGAGAAAATCTATTCGGTCCGTTGTTGCAAAACTGCCGAATATCCAGAAGTTAAAGCCGGAGCAAGATCAATGTTTGCTAAGTGTTGTTGGTGGCCATGATGTTGTGGCCCTCCTCCCCACGGGGTTCGGGAAAAGTTTAATTTTCCAGCTCACTCCGCTAGTGGTGAATGAGTTAGCTAAGGCGAACGATAGGATGCAAAGCCGATAGTTGTTGTCGTCTCCTCTTGTTGCACTAATGGAGGACCAAGTGAGGGAGGCAGAAAGGTTAGGAGTTGGTGCTGGGCAGCTCGGTGTGTACGATGATCACTGTACAGCAGGGGTCTCAAACTCAACTTAACTGGGGGCCGCTGGAGGTAGAGTCGGGGTCAGGCTGGGCCGCATCAAGTATTCCACAAAAAATAGTATTCAAGTATTCCAAAAAAGGAGCACAACTGATCCAATCTTCTCAATATTTATTATTAACGTTTCTTCTGAACTGTTCCTCTGAATTTGAACATTCCTTTCTGTACATGATTGGTTCTTTATGAGCTGTCCTTCTGACAGTTGAAGTTCATTTTACAAACTTTCTTTGTGTATAACACATATTTGTGATATTTATATTTGCTTATGTCCTTTTTATTTTCTTTATACAACACATTAATGATATTGAATGTTTTTTTTTTGGAAGGCACATTTCCTTTTATTATACTTAGAAAAACAATTATTGCTTTTGAAATACAAATATTTGCAGTCATGTCTGCCCGTCTTATTGAATTCTTTCTACACATGTATAGTGTCTCAGGCAAATACTGCACAAATCAAAGCAAACCTTCTTATCAACCTGTTAGACACATATTACAAGCTCAAAATGATTATTCTCACATTGTTTTAGAGCAGGGTCTCTCTCCAACACGTCGCTCCCGTTCACATATCGCGCTCACATATTTTGCGCGCTCAAGTTCGTTATGTCAAATGTAGGTGCGCGGCAAGCGCGCTCATAATTGAAGCGACGCGCTCATTTTTTCCAGGCGCAGTATGTTTGTACTTCGCGGTTGTCTATGACAACTATTGACAACAAACCCACCGTAAGCTGTCACGAGACTATCTATGGTAGCCCATAAGGGATAAAAAAAAAAATATTTTTTTAAAAAACGCGGCACACGCAACGACGGGCCGCACTAACATTAAACTTTAATGTCAAGTAGGGGGCCACAAAATATCACCCCGCGGGCCGCAAATGGCCCGCGGGCCGCGAGTTTGAGACCCCTGCTGTACAGCATTTGCGGCAGATCCGAAACGACCGCAGCGGCGTATTGTTAATGATTACACCCAGCTTCGACAGTTGACTGAATACATCACTGTCCTTAGTGTCAAATATACATTTAGAATTGTTCCTTGAACTCTTAAATTCGATGAACAAAACATGCAGCTCTCGTTGACAGACATCTTATTCTAAACATAATCCTCTGATCATTCGGACTTGTTTTTTTTATTGCTTAAAACAATACACAAGTAATAACAGAAAACATAATACAAAAACAAACAAAAAATAATAATAAAAACAAAACAAAAATAAAACAGTAGGGGGATAATATAAAATAAACATGAACAAGTTAAGAGAATTACATGACACTGAAAAAAGGAAAATAATTACAAACAGATAATGTTTTTAAGGCTTTTTTTTGTTCTCAGACAACTTAATTGAAAAGAGGTATTTTAAAAATTATTTCACAAATATAAGAAAGAGAGGTTTAGCATTTAGATATTTAGATTTATGAATATGGAATTCGGACTTGTTGTTTCCAGCCGGTTTCGGCGCATGACATACGTCACGACCACACGTTAGCGATTGGCTATGGCAGATCCTGAGTGACGCTGGGCAGATCCAATAGTTTTGATCTTTAACAGAGAACCCGCCTACAAGGAAGTAAACGTTTCTCAATGGAGCGAGGCCAGACTCTCTGTACAAATGAAATGTACGAGAGTCTGGTAGAACCAGGCTATGATATTCCATCATGTAAGCAAAATAAACAGTGATTACAAGGTGTTTGGTTTCATTTCTTCACTCATTTCATTTCTTTGTTATCTAATTGACGAGTCTATTCTTGGGCGATGGTTTAGACTACTATTAGATTTTCACTGACAGCCCAAATGTTGCCTTGTTATAGCCTAGACGCCTGGGCTGTGTTTGGACGGCTATTAGATGTCTTTTAATTGTAAAATTGCTTGCTGGGTTGGTTCATGTTGTGTGTTCAGAGATGCTCTTCTTCAGACCTCGGGTGTAACGAGTGCTTATTTGAGTTACTGTTGTCTTTCTATCATCTGGAACCAGTCTGGCCATTCTCCTCTGACTTCAACGAGGCATTTTCGCTGACTGGATATTTCCTCTTTTTCCAGACTATTCTCTGTAAACCCTAGAGATGGTTGTGTGTGAACATCCCAGTAGATCAGCAGTTTCTGAAACACTCAGACCAGCCTGTCTGACACCAACAACCGTGCCACGTTCAAAGTCACTTAAATGACCATTCTGGAGCTCAGTTTGAACTTCAGCAGACTGTCTTGATCATGTCTGTGTAACCCCTCCACCCGGGTCCTACTCGCCCCGCTCTGTGCGGGCCTCCGGCGTGAGAGTCAGGCGCTCTAACAAGGAGGCTAAAGACTGCAGCCTCTAGCATCTGTCGCTAGAGAGCCTTTTGAGATCAGAGGAGTGAGGTTTACTTGCACAGCGACTACTAGCTGGCCTCCGTTACACTCACCCCCCTAAACCTCACTCCCATCCGGGTCACGGCACCAATGTAACCCCTCCACCCGGGTCCTACTCGCCCCGCTCTGTGCGGGCCTCGAACCCGGGTCTCCGGCGTGAGAGTCAGGCGCTCTAACAAGGAGGCTAAAGACTGCAGCCTCTAGCGTCTGTCGCTAGAGAGCCTTTTGAGATCAGAGGAGTGAGGTTTACTCGCACAGCAACTACTAGCTGGCCTCCGTTACATCTGCATGCCTGTATAAAGAGAATGTATATATTTGTCATTGCAGACCTAATGGAGTTGGCAACCTTACTGGAGATGCTGGGAAAACTGGGTGTTACCGCTGCATTCTGCGTAGTTTATGCCGTGACTTCAGAACTGTTTCCGACTGTGGTGAGGAACATGGCCATGGGAACCTGCTCCATGATGGCTCGCATAGGGAGCATCGTTTCCCCCTTCATCATATACTTGGGTACAGCCACAGTTGTTATGTTTCTTCTATTATTTTATAAAGGATTTCCTATAGGATTTAATCTGCTAAAAGAAAATTAAGGGAACACTTAATAATCACAGTATAACACCGAGTCAATTAAACTTCAGGATATCAATCTGTCCAGTTAGGAAGCATAAGATATTGTAAACCAGTTTCACTTACTTGGTGCAAATGAAAGTGCACTTACAAATTGGACAGGCTGACTCGTAAGGCTCTGGGGTCTCTTGTTCGCCATCGCCCCAAAACATCGTGCCAGGTTAACTGGGCTAGGAAGTGTGTCGTAACTGGCTCTAATAATGAAACTTAACCTGGCTTGGGGAATTCTCCAAAGGTCGCTCCACCTGACTGACCTTGGCTCAATGTCGGCCCACTTTCGTCCACCGGCCTTGTTGACCTTGGCCAACAGATTTCACAAGAAGCCTTTCCTTTCCAATGAACTCTTGGTGCTTCAGGTTGGCAATGGTGTTCCACTTTCTATCGGTCTGAACCTTGGCACCAGCATAGAATGTATATGAGTAAGATTTTTAAATTGAAAATTTCATTCCATTCAAAAGTGTTTCCTTAATTTTTTGAGCAGTGTATATGAGCAATATGAACATTGCATAAGTCATCACTTGCATAAATTATTACTTTTTTTCCTGTAAAGGTAACTACTATAGATACATTCCTTATATTGTCATTGGAAGCCTGGCAGTGTTTGCTGGCTTAATTACTTTACTGTTACCAGAAACTAAAGGAAAAGTTCTCCCTGAGACCATTGCTCGGATGCAGCGAATAAAAGGGTGAGTGCATTATTCATTCTCCCATCTTCATAATTGATGCAGTGTTAAAAATGATGAAAAATGAAATATTCTAAATTCAGTTCTGAGTTTGGGGTTTTTAAATAGAATACATGTGCTTAAAGTCTGATTATTACCAGAAATACAGTTAGTTTAAATGTAACATTTCTTTGCTTTTATCTCACAGGCTGAGGAGCTCTAAAAAACAGGCGTCAATGATGAAGATAGCAGTCTTCAAAGAAGTGAAATTATAACAACCGGAGAGTAACAATTATTAAAATGTTGTTCCATAAATCAAACGACTTACCCTAACCCTAAATCCTTAATCATGAAGTATTCTGTTGAGTTGCCATCATGACATACATTTGGCTTGACTTGCGTTGAGTTGCCATTGTCGCCTTTGGCTTGATCAGTTGTGGACATTTAAAGGGGTCCTATTATGCCCTTTTACGAAGTCTTGATTTTGCTTTTGGGGTGTACTAGAAGATTTTCATGCTTGATTGTTCTGTAATGTGCCCAAGTTATGGAACTCGTTACCTACATCTATTAGGAATGCTGCTTCTGTGGATTGTTTTAAGAATCTATTTAGTCAAGCCTTTAATTTATAACTTATTACTGTGTATTTTTTTTTTTTTTCTCCTTGTTTGATTTATTTTGTTCTGTACATACCGTAGCACTTTGAGTTTGAGAAAGGCACATTACAAATAAAATGTTTTACTATTATTAAAAAGCGCATTATTTTTCACATATTTTACATTATTACAGAACCTGTATGCCATAGGTTCTCAAAGTGCGGCCCGCGGGCCAATGGCGGCCCGCCGAAACATTTCTGGCGGCCCGCGATAACAGCTGTAAAACTGTTAAAACTATTGCTTTGAAAAAATGAATATCTCCGTTTAGTGGTGTTTAGCGGCATCCATAGGCATAAGCGGTAATTACATGGTCCGACCGACCGATCGCACTTGACCTCACTCCCAAGGCCACCAGGAACAGTGGCCAACCGAAACCAGCACCACAAATCCCATTGCAATTTAAAAGGGTATGTTGACCAAGTAATCAATATTCAATGTGACTTAACAATAATCTTAACAATGTCAAGATAGCCGCGTTTCCATTAGGCCTACTTCAAAATGTTCGCGGGCGCGAAGTCGCGAACACTTGCATTTTCCTATCAACAGTGGAAACAACTTAAACTAGTCTATCATTTCTGGTCATACAGAAAATAATAATGCATTATTCGCAACTACTTTTATTTGTGTAAACTCATAACAAGAAAACGTGCTTTTGTAAAATAAAATAAAAGAATCAGTAGCCTATAGGCTACTACGCGCTTTCATGATCTCCGTGAACTGGAGCGCGAGAACTGAAACAAAATATAGTGTAGGCTAAAGCTTAAAATGTGCACTTTTAAACAAACAAACTCGAATCGAAAGCAAATACCTGATTATGTAATCCGTATGAAAGGTGGATTTCTCTCTAAAAGCGCATCTGCTTAACAGCGGAGATGGAGATATGTTTTTAGCCGACACTTAGAAAACAATAGTTTATTAATAAACAATTAAAATGCCTTGCTGTTTTTTCAGACGCATTTATTATCATTGGCCTATAACTCACCTATAAATCAGGCTAGATCAGACACGTACAGGCTATATGGCTCTTCTCATTCATCATGCGGGAAAAATATAAATTCCAGGTTCTAATTTGGCCTTAGAAAACCAGTAAAATCGACATGTTTTCCATATTAATTTGTGAATATTTAAAATGTTTAATAAAGGGGCAGAAAGTCATTTAAACAAAAATCTGAAGAAGTCTGTCGATATTTACTTTTTTTGCGCAGCAGTTGGTGAAGCCAGTTCAAATTAAAATTGTGTTCAACTTTGCGTTTTAAAAAGACAACAACCGTTCATTTTTCGTTTTTCAGTTACGGGTTAAAAAAGATAGATAATAATTTGCAAATCTGCAATAATGGAAACGCGACTGACAAGCAATGATAGAAATGAATGATGATGATGACTTGTTTGGTAAGCTTCTATTTTAAATAGAAGCTCTCCCCCCCAAAATTTTCACAAGTTTTGCCAGGTTTAGCCTCAGTTATGAATTAAAATGTGTTTATTGCAACTAATGTAAACTGTAGAGATGCAACCTGGTCATTAAAATAATTTCAAATGGGATTTTCTTTTCAGTTTTTTTTTCTTCGATTTCTCCCCCGCCACTTTGGCGGCCCTCAGTTCTATGTTGGGTTCCTAAATTGGCCCTCACCTATCAAAACTTTGAGAACCCCTGCTGTATGCCCTGTGTTTTCCCCTGTCTTTGTGCAATTGGTTTAGTCCTGTGTCCTAGTTTTCCTGCTCTTCAGTAGTTTAGTTCTATCACCTGTCTTCCTGTCATTATCAGTTCATTTGCCCCAGCTGTGTCGTGTTTCAGTCTGTTCCTTGTCTGTCGTTGTTACTGTATGTGTGGTTGTTCTGTTCCCGTTCTACCTGTTCCTGGATATCTAGTTTATTTAATAAACACTGCTGCAACTCTGATCCTGCTTCCGTGCCTGCTTTAACCAAGCCCGTGACACAGTCTGGCTCAAACAAGCCGATTTAGAGTAAGCCCCTCCTTCCGAAATATGAAATGTGCTGTGATTGGTTAGCTGGTTCAGTGTGTTGTGATTGGCAGCGCTCGGCACCTGTTCGAGAAATGTCCCGCCCCTTTAAAACTGTAAGATCTTCTCTAGTGAAAATATTGAGGATGTCAATTTCAAATCAATTCAAGCCCGATTCAGACCCTGACAATGTTAACGAACAAGAGGATCATGCTGAATGGATTTCAAGCATGGACTTTGCAACCATGGATTTCACAGGATGTTTCAGAGTGGTATATTTGTAATTTTCTTATAAATTATAGATATGATCAAGGCTAAGGATCAGTTAACCGTCTTGTAGTCGGTTGTAGTCCAAACGAGCCGTTCGTTGTAGTTCTTGAAAGGTGGATTCTGTTAAATAAAATATCTCCCTTTGGAGTGGACTTTGAGCTTTGTAACCTTGCAGATCTTTTTTATGCTCAAAAGGGCAACATCACACACTAACTAAAGTTGAAAAGGTGAAAAAGCATAATAGGACTTTTTAAAATTCAGCAATATTATTGATCTGACTGTACTGACATTCTTGGATGAGAAAAAAACTTTAACTGAATTGATCTGAATAATGACACTTTTGTCAATTGTCTTCTGTAGAGTTGTCTTTGAAGTCGTTTCATGATTGATGAATTTTGAGCAACTGAATTGAGCTGAATAAAGACTATCGTCTTCTGTAGAGCTGCTTCCCAGCTAACAGGGAACGCTCTGGCAAGGTTATGAACAAGCGTTCTTCCAGTAACATTAATAGAAGATTTGTTCAGTTATCTGGTCTTTAATAATGTTCTCATAATGTTAGCACAAAAACATTATTTATACAGTACATCGTTCATGGAGCATTTTTTTTTTTGCTGCAACACGACGCAGTGTCTCGTGTCAGTCCAGGTAACACAGAGAACGAGTGAACATTGTTTATTTACATATACGACCGACATTGTAACAAAACAAAACAGGTTGAAAATCTGCAAAGTTTTCAACAGTTTCCCTGCGTCCCCACACAACTCCCAAAGGAAGGGGGCAGAGCAAATCATCTGCTATCCCAACTGTCCAAACCCCAAGCCATAGCTCTCCAGTTTCCCACCAAGGGAGCATAAAATAAGCCTGCAGACTTTCAGACCTGGAAGAGGCCTCAGGAGAGAGTCGTGCATTTGTTATTTTATGAAGTTTAGTGAGAGCATATCCTCATGCTCTTCCTCGTGTTGACCCTGCCTGACGACACCCCACCTTCATACGGAGGGAGCCGATGAGAAGGCGTTGAGAGGGCGTGGCTTTGGCAGAACGGGAAGCCTCCAGGACGGAGCCAGCGGTTCAGGAGACCAGGGTGGAGCCGGCAACTCGGGAGACCTGGGAGAATCCAGCCCAAAATTTTCTTGGGGGGAGCTAGGCGTTTGTAGGCCGGGAGGGATTCTGGGGCGAGCTTGTGGACAGGAGTTGTCTCGGGACCCTGGACGGGGAAAGAGGTCATCTTGGCTGACGACTCTGGAGTGGTGGTGGCCATCTTGGAATGGACCCTGGAATGGACTCAGAGATTACACATTCGCTGGAAAGCCGATGGTGAACTGGGACCCACAGGTAGCCAGAACCCACTCCACAAACGCAGCAAAACTTTCCTGAGGTCCCACACCGGGCAGGCGGCCTTCGTCTCCGCACTGAGGCTTGTGAGGAAAGACACTCAATGATCGATCGGGGAAGGAGGTAAGGCACGCCAGGTCGAGGATCGCAGTGGTGTGAGCCTTGAGGGAAAGCTTGTCCTGATCCAGACATTATCCAGACATACGCACTGCTGGTAGAACCATCTTTAAGAGGTCTGTCGTTCAGTCACGGGTCTGGTTGCAGTAAAGAGGAAACAGGATCTATGTGCAGCAGTCTTTATTAATCATAAACTCAAACTTACAGAGATACTCGAGATACCCAAGAGACTCAAGAGACTCAAGACCCAGGCAAACAGCGATGATGACAGACAACTAGACAGGATTAAACTCAGGCTTAAATACATAGGCAACAGAGAGGAACTAATTAGACTGATTAACAAGACACACCTGAACTCAACAAACACAATAAGTAACCATAGAAACAAACCGGGCGAGAACAAGGAGAACTGAAGTAATTAACAGATTAGAAGACTAACTGAGAAACTGAAAGGTGCTTTATGTAACTTTTTCACTCTACTAAAGAATAAAAATACCATATTATGTTTGCATATATTGTGGAAATATGCTAAGTTCACATTCTCGTTTCTCTGAAAAACTTGAACAGCCGGTTATTTTACTCTGAAATGTGTGTTTCCAGGCTGGAATGTTTGTTATTTTTTGGTCTGTGATTCTGCATCCGTGTCTCAAACTGGCGACCCGCGTGAGCATCGAGTTCGAGGAGGCGGGAGAAACCAC